TCAGACATTCAGATGTGTCTGGGGCTTCTTCCTTCTGGTGGGTTCGTGGTCTGACAGGCGTGAAGCTGCAGACTTTCACGGGGAGTCTTACAGCTCATAAAGGCAGCGTGGACCCGAAGAGTGAGCAGCAGCAAAATTTATTGCAAAGAGCGAAAGAACAAAGCTTCCACACAATAGAAGGGTATCAAACAGGGTTGCTGCTTACTGGCCCCGCTGCCTGCTTTTATTCCCTTATCTGACCCCACCCACATCCTGCTGATTGGTCCATTTTACAGATAGCTGATTGTTCTATTTTACAGAGAACTTATTGGTCCGTTTTAAGTACTGATTGGTGTGCTTACAATCCTTGAGCTAGACACAGAGTGCTGGTTGGTGCGTTTACAATCCTTGAGGTAGACAGAGTGCTAGATGGAAAAGTTCTCCAAGGCTCCATCCGGGTCAGGAGCCCTGCTGGTTTCCCCTGGTGGATCCTGCACTGGGGCTGCAGGTGGAGCTGCCCGCCACTCCCGAGCCGGGCCTGCACTGCTCAGCCCTCCGGCCGTGAATGGGACCGGGCGCCACGGAGCAGGGGGCTGCGCCCCTTGAGGAGGCTCAGGCCACGCAGGAGCCCACAGCAGCGAAGGAGCTCAGACATGGCGGGCTGCAGGTCCCAAGTGCTGCCCCGTGGGGAGTCAGCTAAACCAGGCGAGAATTTGAGTGCAGCACCGGCGGGCCGGCACTGCTGGGGAACCCGGTGCAACCTCCGCAGTTGCTGGCCCAGGTGCTAAGCCCCTCACTGTCCTGGGCCAGCGGTGCCGGCACGCCGCTCCATGTGCGGGAGCCCGCCGAGCAGGCGCCTGCCAGAACTTGCACTGCCCTGCGAGCGCCACTCGCAAGCCCTGGGTTCTGCCACCTCTCGCCCCACACCTCCCTACAAGCTCCTGCCTCAGCCAGCCCAGAGAGGGGCTCCCACGGTGCCACGGCGGGCTGAAGGGCTCCTCAAGCGCTGCCAGAGTGGACGCCAAGGCCGAGGAGGCGCCGAGAGTGAGGCCTGCTAGCACATAGTCACCTCTGAATTTCAGACCTTAAAACCCACTGTGCGATCTTTTACTTTAACTCTGAATGACATAGGAGGCCATTGGAGGATTCTGAACAGGGAAAAGATGTGGCTTACATTTTAGAGAGATCAATTTGAGTGCTGTGATGAGATAGATTATAGGAAAGTAAGGACGGCAGAAGAGAGATCAATTAGGAGGTTTCTGAAGTAGTGCAGAGGAGGCATAATGGTGGCCCTTTTCAGGATAGTGTCTGTGGAAATGGTAAGTAGTTGGTGGTCATATTCTGAATATGTTTTGAAGGTAGAAATAAAGAGTTCACTGACTGATGACAGAATAAGATAACTTTTTTTGAGATGGGGAAGATTGCAGAAAAAGATAAGTTATTTGTGGGAAGAACAGCAGTTTGGTTTTTGACTTTTCTTTTTTGTTTTATTTTATTTTATTTTTTGAGATGGAGTCTCACTCTGTCACCCAGGCTGGAGTGCTGTGTTGCCATCTTGGCTCACTGCAAGCTCAGCCTCCCGGGTTCACGCCATTCTCCTGCCTCAGCCTCTCAAGTAGCTGGGACTACAGGCGCCCGCCACCATGCCCAGCTAATTTTTGTATTTCAGTAGAGACGGGGTTTCACCATGTTAGCTAGGATGATCTCGGTCCCCTGACCTCGTGATTCGCCCGCCTTGGCCTCCCAAAGTGCTGGGATTACAGGCGTGAGCCACTGTGCCCAGCCGACTTTTCTTTAACTCACAGTGCCTATTAGACTTCCAAATGGAAGAGTTAGATTGAGCCTAAGGACAGACAAAATGGACATGTTAACATTAGAATGAAGGTTTAGGAAGTACCTGTCTTGGGACTTAGCATTTAAACCCAGATTTAATCAGTTATAATGCATTAGTAGATCAAATAATGAAGGGACAAAAAATATTCTATGGAGAAAAACAGCATAGGAAGGTTTGAGGAGCTAAGAAAGTGACATTCCTATAAACAATTGATAAAGGCCAGGAGTATACTAAACAAAGCAAAGAGTGGCATGAACCATTGGATCTGAACACCTAGGAAGTGAGAATATATAGATAGGTCTAATGATTGATGTTCACAGTAATCATTTATTTCTCTGTGTCTTCCTCCTTAGCTTCTACTAGTCATTCAAGACTGGCTTAAAAATCCCTGTTTAGGGTGCAATCACCTGGGTTATTTCATGACACTAAGTAAACAACTACATAGTGCTTTCTGAATCTTGTTGCACTTGCCTGTTTTCTGGTCATCTTCTCCAGCATACTGTAAGTTCTTTAAGAAGAAGGCCTATAGTACACGAATAATTATTGAACAAACGAGTAAATAAACCTTTGCACTTCAAATAAAATCTAAGTGATAATTGTCCCTGTCCTCACCCAACTCATGTCATGCCACTCTTCACTTTGTTTACTATACTTCAGCCACCTTTATCAATTGTATATAGGAATATCACTTTCTTAGCTCCTCAAGCCTTGAAGATTTTCCTCTGCTGTTTTTCTCCATAGAATACTTTTTTGTCCCTTCATTATTTGATCTGCTCATGTATTATAACTGATTAAATCTGGGTTTAAATGCTGAGTCCCAAGACAGGTACTTACTAAACATTCGTTCTAATCTTACATGTCCATTTTGTCTCTCCTAACAGTTCTAATGTGAGAATTAATAGCATTCATCACAGTTTGTAGATTTATAAGGATTGTATGATTATTTGTTTACTATCTGTTTCTCAATAGAATCTATGAGAACAAAAGACCATGTCTGTTTTAATCATTAATAGGTACCTAGCCCTTGCCACTGCACAAGACACTTTATAGGCCCTTTAAAAAATTCTTAGCATAAGTGAAAATAAAAAGTTCCACATATTTGTATTATTATCAATGAATGTGGATTATATAGTCAGTATGTTTGTGATTTTGGGATAACATAAAACTATAACACCTTTTGATAAACATGTTTTAATCTGTTTTCTCCTAAATTTGGGAAAATATGTACTAATGGAATAAGAATTAGTCTCCCACGTGCCCAGCAGCACCTGGGTTTTATAAGTACGTAAACATTTTCCATTTTTTACGGAAAAAATGTACTTTCAAGATTTGGATCACCTCAGGGAATGTTCCATTTCCTCTCTTCACTAGTTCAGCATGTGATGTAGAAGAGCATATCCAAAATGAATGTGAACTTCTGAGAAACCATTAATATGAGCAACTATTTTTCAAAGTCAGTTTTATTGAAAACAGAAGTTTAAGAAACTTAAATAAATTACTATTTATGTGGAAATTACTATTATGTGGTAAATTTGTGGATCTAGAGAACAGTTTTTCTTATCATTTACTTTATCTTCTAACTCTTTGTTGAGATAACAAGATCAATATAAATACCTCATAAAAATTATTTTAGAATTTTCAAACCAATAATGGTTAGGCATATATTATTTAGACTAACTAAATTTTACAACTCTTATTTATAAATATATATGCATATATTTATAAAATTAAATAGAGTTATTTCCAAATTTATACAAAGAAGCTATAGCTATTGAAACTTAGAAAATACTAAGTATTCCAGTTTCGTGAGTATGAAAGACTACTTATAAAATTAAATATTATTTAATTGTCATTTCAGTTAATTATTTGAGCATACAAAGAGGATGGAACTATCACTTAAATCAATTTAAATATTATTTATCTCACCTCTGCAATTGCTAAAGTATGGAAGCACTACTATAATTAGGATTAATTACTCATATAATTAGAAGTAATGGACATTTGGAAACAGGAAGAAGAGACTAGATCCCTTATTCCTCTGAGATTTCCTCTCAAGGACCCCTCCATACAAAAGTGACAACATGAAATTCTTAGGCCCATTATTTTATACTGCTGTTTGTAATACTAAAATATACTAAATTTCATTTTGAGAAGATACATAAAACTCATTAGAATATAGAAAAAAGAAATGTTTGAAAACTGTAAGCTTCTGAACTGCTAGTAGAAGAATTAGCTGAAAATTATAATGTTGCACCTTGCTGTTGTCATTTCAAAGGGTCTTTGGAAAAATCTGCTTGAATTAATAAAATATATTTAATAAGGGATTAGCCTTCCAACTATTTCTATAGTATTTAATATTTTAAATTATTGATATGCTCATATTAGAATATATATACATTTAACATATACCCCTCATTTAGCCTTCTAACACTGCAAATATGACTTGTAGGTCTTCAAAACTATAGAAAAAGGAAAATAAGAGGAAACTTTTCATAATGCAGTCACAATAAAAATGTTGATAACTCGTCGATTCTATTTAGCTCATATTACAAACTATAAATAATAGACTGTATTTATTAACATTTATTTGCCTAACAACAGACATTTAATTCATTGATTAACATTTTGAAAGCATCCAAGGTTAAATCAAAAAAAAAGAAATATTAACATTTGTATTAGGAGAGAATCTAGATAAATCATATGAGAGAAAGTACATTCAAACATTTCCTCACAGTAGAAATTGAGAGTGCTTTGTTGAGTTTTCTTATTTCTTTTCAATCTTTCAATTTTTCTTTTCCAGTCTAAATTTTTAAAGGATTGACAGAAGTATCACTAATATGTTTCTTCAAAGAAACAGTATATAATTTACTGAACAAAAATTTGATTTCTTTAGTGTTTATACACCTTTCCAAACCAAAATTTACCTTAATGTTTATATTAATCGTATTAGTGGCAGCAGATGATACTCTTCAATCTTTAGGTATGATGATAACATCTGAAGAAGTTTCATAAACAAGTTGCTTTCACTACCACTTGTACTGATAATATTCGGTGATATTGTGAAGAACTATATAAATGCCATGATTTTTAGTTCCTATCTTACTGAAATCTTTACTGTTTATTTTCTTTATATGTATCTAATTTAAAATGAAAACTATCTCTTCTTTGAAATTAATTCTTTTTCCAGGTTAATCTCTTGGCTTTTGGAGTTATCATATACAAAGTTTTTCGTCACACTGCAGGGTTGAAACCAGAAGTTAGTTGCTTTGAGAACATAAGGTAAATGTGTCTTTAAGTTCACTTTTTTTTTTAAAGTAATTAAAAGCTTTAGTAACTCGATAATTTTGGGAATTATTTTTAAATGATTTCATACTTTACCATACTTAAAAGACATATTGGAAAATAGCATTTAGTACGTATATTAAGACTACAATTACTACAGATTAAGTGGTAAGAAGCAATTTTTTCAAACATACACCCCTTTGAAAGGGAAAAGATGATGACTGTATTTTAAGGCAAGGAAGGCCTTAGTGATTTTCTTTTGTAAAATGTTTTTCAGAACTTAATAACTGTTTCTTTTTTGTTATTCCTAGTTTACATGTTGTCATGACTTTTCCTTTACACCCACCCCCTCCATGCCACCCCCTGCTTTAAAACTGATTTATTGAAACCTTGAAAATGATTTGTTCAGGAAGAGCTGAATTATGCTATAGGGAACACTGGAAACAACGTACTATTTGTGTTGCTTGGGAACACTCCTGTAGTTTCAATACCTTGCACAAGATTTATAGTTGGGATTTAGTAAATGTTTGATCAATTACTTTCTTTTAGTCCTCACCAGTCATGGTTTCATGTAGTGTACTGGTTTTAATAAAGTTGAAAATGATTCATTTTCTGAAGTATACTGCTAAAATATCTACTGCAACAAAGAATGATTCGACTAAAAATGAATGAGAGAATAATCATTAGTTGCTTCATTTCCAAGGCAGTGTCCTTAGTGAGCAGGATAGAGTATTGTTTTGCCAAAAGTCACAGGCATTCTGCTGAAAAGATTTAAGAGTGGTGTGTGTATTTTTTCTTTAATTTTTAAGAAAACAGTATTCTGTAATGAATTTATCTTGACATATTTTTGTATTACAAAAGCAAAACAAAATAAAACAAAACCCTGTTTTTATATCCTATACGTTCTTTTCTTCTAAACCTGAAAGGAAAGCAGAGCCTCCTTTGATGTCATGGATATGTGCTGACCCCAGTCCACATGGTATACTTTTCAGAGTTTCTTAGGGAAAATACTTCCTAACAGATATATGTCTTACCTTCAGGAATTCCTGCAACATTACCTTTGAAATCAAAGCATGCACACTGCAGTACACCAGACAAAAATATTTTAAGATTAAGGAAATTGCTTACTCTTAAACATAATTCCATGTTTTGGTACTAGTAATTTGACTTTGGAAGCACACCCCTGCCATGGTTCAGTAGCATACCCTAAAGGCTGTCCCACTTAACTGCAGCACAACTTAGCAGTTTTGAAAGTTTATTGGGTCTTTGCAAAAGGTTTCTTTCTTATAGTGAAAACTCACCTCCCACATAATTTGAGTAATTTGGGAGATGTGTTAACTATACGTGGCTTTCTTCACTGACACATTTCTAATATGTGATAGGTCTTGTGCAAGAGGAGCCCTCGCTCTTCTGTTCCTTCTTGGCACCACCTGGATCTTTGGGGTTCTCCATGTTGTGCATGCATCGGTGGTTACAGCTTACCTCTTCACAGTCAGCAATGCTTTCCAGGGGATGTTCATTTTCTTATTCCTGTGTGTTTTATCTAGAAAGGTAAACAATTTCTTATTTTGGTCGAGTCTAGTATATTCATGTAGCATCAGTTGCCGAATTGATAGAAAATTCTTACTATCATAGATTTATAACTTCTGCCTTTATTGCCTAAATCGCCTAGCTGTTCATAGGAAAATATGCTTTTTAAAGAACCTTGATATTAGAGATATAAATATAACTTAAATGAACATATTCTGAGCTATAATACTTTAGAAAACCACATATAACAATTTATTGTGATTTGAAAAAAAATTAAATGTGATTGTTATGTAACATTTCTTCCTTTCCTTTTTTTAATTTTTAGATTCAAGAAGAGTATTACAGATTGTTCAAAAATGTCCCCTGTTGTTTTGGATGTTTAAGGTAAACACAGAGAGTGATGGGTAATTACAACTGTACAAAAATAAAAATTCCAAGCTGTGGATGACCAATGTATAAAAATGACTCATCAAATTATCCAATTATTAACTACTAGACAAAAAGTATTTTAAATCAGTTTTTCTGTTTACAGTATAGGAACTGTAGATAATAAGGTAAAATTATGTATCATATAGATATAGTATGCTTTTCTACGTGAAATGGTTCTGTCAAAAATAGTATTGCAGATATTTGGAAAGTAATTGGTTTCTCAGGAGTGATATCACTGCACCCAAGGAAAGATTTTCTTTCTAACACAAGAAATATATGAATGTCCTGAAGGAAACCACTGGCTTGATATTTTTGTGACTCATGTTGCCTCTGAAACTAGTCCCCTACCACCTTGGTAATGAGCTCCGTTACAGAAAGTGGAACATAAGAGAATGAAGCGGCAGAATATCAAACAGTGAAAAGGGAATGACTGTTAAAATAATAAGATGTATTTTGAATAAACTTGTTTTTTCTGTAGACTAGCTGAGAAATTGTTGACATAAAATAAAGAACTGAAGAAACACATTTTACCATTTTGTGAATTGTTCTGAACTTAAATGTCCACTAAAACAACTTAGACTTCTGTTTGCTAAATCTATTTCCGTTTCTAATATTCTGAAACAAAAAAGGTTTACCTCCACAAATTGAAAAAAAAGCAAAAAAAGATCTGTTTCTAAGGTTAGACAGAGATATATACTATTTCCATATTTATTTCACAGATTGCGACTTTGGATATTTAATCAGTAAAATACAAATGTGTCAAGGTATAATATTGTTTATGCCTATCAATGTAAAAACTGTAATAAAGCTGAAGTATTCTATTCTATTACCTTTCAGTGAAGTGAAAGTTATACTATCTCATTAGTATATTTGAATCCTTTATTATTTTTAATTTTAGAAATATTGCAGTTCACATTGTAGTATTCCCCTTTAATTTACTATTTTTAAAGGGGTATTATAAATATGAAAGTATTTATAAAGTGAATTGCTATTTTTTCTTTTCAGAAAAGTACACATTTAAAATTGTTATTGTTAACAAAGAAATCATGGAGAACTATAGAGGTTTTCACAGTGGATCCATTTTCTGAGCATTTTCTACTATCTATTAAATCATGTCTGCTTAAATATATAGCTTCTATCTATCTTTAAATCTTCTCATTAAAATGTAGAAGCAGTGACTTTGATCTCAAAAATAGGTAATTTTTCTTTGCCTACCTGTAAAAGTGTGCCAATACACTAAATTTGTGATTTTAAATTAATTTCTCCAGCTGTTGAAATGAAGCCTGCCAAATCTTGCTCTAACAAATAAAATGTTATCTAAATAAAGCAATTCTGCTACAGCTTTGCTGAATTCCTGTTCTCAAGAAAGATGAGCTACCTGCCAAAGGGTCTTTTGCATTTTTAGAGAATCCATGATAATAACTTCTCATTATCTTCTGATTTCTTACATGGTAAACCTGTGACCTATTATTATCAGTGCCATTGCAGGATAATGTTCTAGAAATGTGATATTGAAAATACTCATCTGTTTAATAGATGTATTCAAAACTTCATGTGGTAGACAGAATAATGCCCCCTCCCAAAAAAATGTCCATGCCCTAATCTTCAGAACCTCTTAATATGATAGATTACATGGTGAGGAGAATTCAAGTTGCAGATGACACTAAGGCTGTTAATCAGCTGACCTTGAGATGAGGAGATGATCCTAGATTATCCGGGTGGGCCCAGTGTCATCACAGCGTCCATGTAAGTGAAGAAGAGATTCAGAAGGAGGGCAGGAGTTGCAGTGATGCAGTGTGGTGCAGACTTTACCAGCCATTGCTGGCACTGAAATGGAACTCCACAAACCAAGGAATGAGGACAGCCTCTAAAAGCAGAAAAAGGAAAGGAAATATATTTTTCCCTGGCATCTCCAGAAGGGACTCAGCCCTGCTGATAACTTTGTTTTAGCTCAGGGAAACCCATTTCAGACTTCTAAACTCCAGACCTATATGATAATAAGTTTATGGTGTCTTAAGCCGAGTTTGTGAATAGTTTGTTACAGCAGCCATTAGGAACTAATACGATGGAAATATTTATGTAATAACATATTCGGAGATGAACTACTGTTCAAATCATTAGGGCAAGCGTTCACCCAACTGTCTTCTTTTCATCCACCTTTCCATAGATATCATTGGACAAAGCTTATATTTGCTAGTATGACAGTTAAGAGCTTCTCATATCTACTTCCCTCCCCAGTTTTCATTTTTGCCTAACAGGTTTATCCAGTTATACCAAACTGTTTCTCTTTCTCCAAATTTGCCATGGTTTACTGAATTCCCCTTTTCTGGAATTTCCTCCTTGTGACAATCATTACTCTGGCAAATATTACTTGTCCCTAATGCATCTTTCTTTAGGAAGCCTTCTCTGACTCACACAAGGAATTAATCACTTCTACCTTTGTCTCACCACTCTATCTATTACTTATCTATTTAACATTTATTACACTGTATTGTAATTATTTAGCCCAGCTCAGGACATTCACTGGAGGGTGTTTTGTTGTTCCTTTAAGACAGGTACCCTTTTCATTTTGGGTTTCGTGAATCAATGTTACTTATCTTCTGTTGCTTCCTGAACACGTTTGACGTCATAACAGGTCTGCACCCCCTGAGCAATCTGGCCTTTGCTCTTTTGCTTTACCTATTCCATTCTGGAAGCCCACTTAGCCAGTCCTTTCATGCTTGTCTGACACACACATCATGCAATTAGGTGGAAAGGGATGACCTGGCAACTTCAAATTAGTAAAGTAGAGAAGGCAGAGGAATTAGGCCAGCAATATAGCCTTGAGCATGTATTATTCAATTCAGCTTTTTCAGAAAAGACATTGTTGGAGAATTTGTAAGGAGCTTTCCAAAATAATAAAAGTCATGCTTCATTTTCCGTTTGGTTGTCTTTCTTCGTGTTATTCCTTTTTCCACTTCCTCATTTGATAGTGAGTTAGGTAAATATTAAGATTCAAGACTCAATCACCTTAACCTGTAAAATATATCACAAGATCATTAGTAAATACTAAATTACAAGCTCTTCTTTTCTTCATAAACAAGGGGGAGTTGTAAAATCTCAGAAGATTCAATCGAATAACTCGATACTTTAAGCTTGGCCTAAAGCAATGAGACACCAGAGAAGTATAAGATAAATTCTCTGACTGTGTGAAAACTTGCTATTAACTAGAGATGTAATAATCCCCTAATAAAAAAATCTGTTGGTTGACTGAATACACTGTAGTTGAGAAAAATTTATTTACATGCAATGTAACAATTAGAAATAACATGAGAGTCTATGAACAAATAATCCACAATCTTCATACTAGGCATAACTAACAAGACTTTCATAATTTGATGATGACATCATTTCTTCAGTCCTTTTCAATTTAATGCCAGCCCCATAAAATTAAATGCTGACTCTGCATCATTAATTTTCTCTATATTCTATCTAACTTTCAATACACATCTTCACTGCCCTACAAAATAGGGTCCATTTGTATATATCACATTATTGTCTAATTTCTCCAACATGAAATTTTTGAGGAAAGCATGAATTATGAATTCAATATGAATCCAGAAATCGTACCCCATTGTTCAAGTTTTCCCCCTACCTGCAATGTCTTCTTGATGCAAATTTTACCCATCATTCAAGACTTCACATTATGAAGCTCTCTGGTCAATTTGGTCCTTATTAATTTCCACAATCACTACCACTATAGCACTTACAGGGTGTACATGATAACATAGCACTTAATAAGAATCATTGTAAAGTCATCATTCAGTGCTCAAGCTTCAAATTCCTAGGTTTTAGATTATAGATAGGAGTTAAATAACTTAGTAAAGGCATTTAAAGAAAATATTTCTTCCTTGAACGTTGATGCAGTTTTGAATAAACTGTGCTATCCCATTTAATTCTCACACTAACATATGCAACTCTATCCTTGTCTTTTCAATATGAAAAGTGTCTAATGTCACACAGGTAGGAAATAGCAAAGTTAGTTTTCAAACTCAAAGCTGCAGTTCCCCTATAGCTGCTCCCCTATAGGAGCTCTCACAAACTTGCTCAGACTCAGACAAGGATTGAAAATGGCTGGATTCATACCCAAGCTTTCTGCCTCTGTAGGGTATATTCCACAGCTATACATTTGTATAGTGTAAGGATAATATTCCAGTTTACAATTATGTTCTCTTGAGGCTAGAGGAAACATGGCATACTTTTTTATTTTTTGTTTGAGACTGAGTTTTGCTGTTGTCGCAGAGGCTGAAGTGCAATGGCGTGATCTCGGCTCACGGCAGCCTCCGCCTCCTGGGTTCAAGTGATTCTCTTACCTCAGCCTCCTGAGTAGCTAGGATTACAGGCATGCACCACCATGCCCAGCTAATTCATTGTAATTTTAGTAGAGATGGAGTTTCTCCATGATAGCCAGATGGTCTCAATCTCTTGACCTCGTGATCAGCCCGCCTCATCCTCCCAAAGTGTTGGGATTACAGGCATGAGCCACCGCGCCCAGCCGACATACTTTTTTAACATGGGATTTTAGTATCTTTTCTACATGCATCTGTGATTTGAAATAAGTGTATAGCATAAGTTTTAAGTTAAAGTGTTTTTATTCTTTTTCTCTCCGCTTCGCTACCCTTTCCTTGTACATTTATTCCCATCCCCCATTCCTACTCACACTCTCAACCAGGTAATTCATGTTAAGCAACTGGCATATATTCTTGCATATTGTTCTTCCTATTCATATCATCATATTGAGAATATTTATATGACATCACATTATAAAAATGTCTATGTTGCCTGCTTTTCTCTCACTTATTAAATTAACAAGTATAGCCCATTAATTCATTTAATGGCTGAATAATATTTTATATTGAGGATGTACCATAATTGCACAGCTGATATACAATCTGAACTAATGCACTAATATATTGGAAGCACTCACTGCCTTTCAGAAATAATGTTCCCTATGCCATACGGCTTGGTTTTGTTATTGAAAATACCAAATGCTAATGTTATTTTTTATCTTAAGATGAATGTGGACCCATGTTGATGAGCCAAACCATCATAACCCTTTCACTGATGTAAAGGTTGTTTGTTGTTTCTAGTAAGTATTCAGTGAAAATCATACTATGGATTTGAGATCCACAAAGCTCCTTGAGCATTTTCATGTAAGTGAAAAGGATTTGAATTATTTACCCTACATTGATGGCTTGAGCGAGCATTAAGATTGGTAAGCAATCTGAAAGTACAGAACATTTTACCTGGTATTTCATTCAGACATTGCACATCACAGGTTTGTATGATAGTTATGATTAATGTAAAATGAGAGGGTTAGTTTAGCCGCAACGGATCTCTTTTGGTGCCAATGTACTATGTTTCTAATTCCAACCCCCCATTTTGAGGCAATGTAAATAATAAGGTCTATAAAGTATATTACAATTTTATGCACTCAAAAGTAAGGGGAAAAATAATAGATTTCTTTCAAAATTGTCCTTTAGAAATGTGGTTTTTTTCCCTATCAGGCTGCAATTTGCCATATATCAACATCTAAGGGCCAGGCAGCTCAACCTGAAAATGATTATTTTCTTTCTTTTCCTTAATGTATCGGAAAGTGGATCTAAAAGAACTTTCAGTATGCAGGGGGGTTAATTATCTTGGCAGTCAGTTAAGCTTTGGAAGTTTTAGGTGATAAGAACAGAGCCCTAAAAAAGACTCCCTGCTACTGCTGCCTGCTGTGAAGAAACAGCCATGTGTTGCCACCACTGCCAATATCACTCAAATTACCCTGAAATTCCCCTGCTTTTCTGTACATCCTGGCTCCTGGAGAGCAGCACTGTGCCAGTGAGGTCATTTATTCTGTCACATCAACCCACACGGCAATCATGACAACTACATCTTTCACTCAATCTAATACAGGAGGCTTTTCTGCAAGACCTTAGATGACCCAAGTGAGGAATGTAATTATTCAAAACAACAGTGCTTCTTGTTCCTCAAGTGCTGCCAACTTCTCTGCAGAGCCACCTAAATGCTCCCCAATTTTATCTTCCCACTCAGATCAGTTTCTCAGATTCTCCTAAAGGAGTGTGTAAATAAACAATCACTTCTTACATTTTAGAACTTTACTTTCAGAGACGCAGTAACAGTGGTGTGGATGCAAGCTCAGATTCTGCAGTCAGACCACCTTGGCTAGACCTAACAGAGTTAGTTGTATAATCTTGGGCAAGTTACAACCCTAGACCACAGTTTATCATCTCGGAAATAGAGATAACAATGACATAATGTTGTTTTCAGAATTAAATCACTTAATATATGGAAGATAATTAATACAATGATGAGCACATGGCAAATGGCATCTAAGTATTAGCTAATGTTATTCTAACCTAGATGAACAATTGCTGATCATGCACTTACCAGGTACTAGTGACTGTTCTCAGTATGTGGTGGAGTTAACTGGTAAAAATCATGAAAACTGAGAAAAAATAAACATAAATATGTTGTTCAAAGTGAGACCTCCACATTATTGATTTATCAGCAAGTTATTTCTGAAACAAGCAAGGAAACAGTAAAAACAAGTGAGTCATAATGAAGTCAAATTGTAGACGTACTTTATTTTCTATCACCTCCCAATCTAGTTTCTCCCACCCCTCATTTCACCCCACCCAAAAACTCCAGTTTCAAGTTTTATTGCCCTCTAATATGGAGCTGGAAGTATGCCAGAGAGAAGTTTAAGTGTTTGACTTTGTTGATGTGTTCTCTGGAGTGCGGTTGCAGCCCAGGTCCCACATTCTCTATACACACAGAAACTCTGCCCCTGCAGGTGCTAATGTCCTTCAGTTAAAATTAAAGTGGTTTTACTATAAAAAATTTTCATCAATATGTTTTTATTTAAATATAAATATTATTAGTATTTACATGAAGCTAAAAAATCTTTTCTCTTTAAACATAGTGCATATAAACAAAGACATTTTGGTATTCTCAACTTTCCATGTACTACCATAAATAAGGAAGAAATTTAAAGTGGTTTCATTTGGGTACCTTTTTCAGTATGTATATATTCAATGTATTATATATATGTAAAGAATATATATATATGTAAAGAATATATATAAAGAATATATATGTAAAGAATATATATAAAGAATATATATATATAAAAAGAATATATATATACTTTGTTCAGGACACTTTCCAGTCATTTTATTTGCTCTTGCCTAATTTAAGACGACAGAAATTATGCTCCTTTAAAACACAATCCTGATATCTTTAAAGGAAAAAGCAAATGAGCTATTTTAATACTTGAGAAAAACTGATAAGGGAATTGCCAGTAGAAAAGAAGAAATATTCTTTAATAAATACCAATTACTTGTTTGTAAAATGCATTTGGCTTTACCTATTATTTATGCTATTTAAATGTTCAGCATTGTTAACTGAACAACAGATTTCTTTGTTGTTACATAAAAGTAATTTCTAGCTTCCATGTTTAGTAAACTAGATATTACAAATTTTTGAGATAAAAATTAACTCGGAATTTTATTATTTGCTAATTTGAGAATTCAGATTTTCATTATATCTGCCACCCTCATCTGCCAATCTCGTTATTTTGATGAAGAATGCCTCAGAGATTAGAAACACAGTTCTTTATTCTTCTATGTACTAAAGGGTAAGACATATTTAGTATTGTGTGATTTTTTTCCAAGCAGAATTTGCATTCATAGATAGAATAAGCTGAATAAGTCTACATAGTCAAACATTTTTTTTCTACTTGCTCCAATAACACTAACAAATAGGAAGCTCTTGCTTGCTCCCCAAAACTCCATTTCCTTGAAAGCAGAAGTGTAACATTACTTCTTAGTATCCTTCCATTTTCTTTGTGAGACTCAGAAAAGGTAAATGGA